TCACGAGCGAAGTTGCTCATGGAGCATCGTCATTTAGAGTGGCTGATGCATTATACATCCCGGGAGGTCCTTCATCATCCCCCACCTCACGACTGGTGTTGCTTCATTGTATCCCTTGAGGCCTGTATGCCTCACCTCGGCCGCCACCCTATCTGTGCTCGAGCAAATTCTGGTGTCTCAAAAGACCATCAGTGCGGTGCGCAGCGCCTCCGGAGGAATATGGCGAAGCAGCAGCATAGCTTTGGTCTCGCATCTGTTTAAAGACAGATCAACGCCTTCTTAACGCCTCAAATCACAACCCACTCAAGCTCTCAATCACTACAGTTTTATACCTCACTAGCAATATCACTTCTTTTGAATACATCATCACCATCTGAACAACATGGCCGACAACTCTCTCTCAGGCAGCCATATTCACAGGCATGATCTTCATGACCCGTTGACCTTTGGTCATTGTCAACAATCAACAACCGCCCGGCACGAATCCACTTCATCTTCCATGGACAGCACCGGTGTTGCTTCCGTGCTGCACACCGGTGTCGTCACGCTTCCCATCGGTGCCCTCTTCGGCGGAGATCATATGTCGGCTCCCAACAGCATCCCCGATCTCAACATGCAGTACAACCACGGGCCCGCTGCTACAGATGGAAATATAGTATGGTTCTGCTCGGAATGCTACGATGGACCTATCAGTGACTGGCAGAGCGTCTGTGTGAACTGTTCCCATCCGAAGTGCGGCGCGTGCAGAGTCGAAGAAACCTGCTAAACGTCCCCTTGCACTCGCACACCCTCGTCCTCCTCTACCGTCTACGTCGACAACCATTCACGACAACGTTATCACGAAGAGGTACTTCTACTGTCGCTCCTGCTCGAATCTGTGCAACACTCTCTTCTCCTGGATACTCTTTCTTTGCGTCATTTCTTGGGATCTCTCGCTACTGTCTGCTTTTTGTGCTTCTCAATCACTATACCACTTTTGTAGATCTTTTGGACTTTTGGAGCGTTTCGGCAAAGCATTGCTCACACGGCGCTGTTCGTTCTTGCAACAACATCATGTGGTCTGCCACGAGCATGACGCATACCACCCCGCACATTCGTTTTACGGATCTTGGTTTTGGAGTTTATTTGGATTTACACTTCGTTACTCAATAGAATTCTCTTCATCATTACTTGCTTCACTCTCATAATAACCTTGTCATTTTCCTGTCATGGCCGCATGCATCTTCCTGCAATAACGTTGAAGCGATGCGCCTCCATCGCTCGAAATGGGAACCGAGTGGTGAGCAAAAGCGCGAACTGCAGCACGCATACCAGATTCGGCTCCCCATCCCAGACTTGATTGCAGGAAAAGACGCAGGTACATTTGTTTCAGCATGAAGCACGACACCCCCAGCGAGAGATTTACAGGCCTCGCATACGAGAAATTCACTGCGACGGCGAATCATAGAATTGCTGCTTGAGAAACGCGCATGATTGGGCAAGTTTCATCATTTTTACCTTACTTCTGCCTAATGACAACATCCAGCATTCTTTTGTTCTTGCTTTTTCTCGGAGTGGCTTGCAGTACGGCGTTAGCGCAAGGCAGGAAGAGGGACCCCCTTGGCGCCCAGAGACGCCCGAGGACTGAGGGCACGAGGCTGGAACAACGTTTCTAGCAAGTTTACTCGAGCCCAATGTGCCTTTTCTGTCTGCCTTCTGCCTTAAAACTGCACCGCCACGCTTGATTCTGCTCGGTCACGCCCTTTGTTCCGGTATCCGACCGGCTTCCTGGCCTGCCTTGTTACTCCCCTTATGCCACCATGGACAGCTGCCGGTGCGTTCTCTCACTGCTCTCTCTCTCTCTTCATGGTCATGAGCGTGCTGTCTGACGTACGTTGACCGACGCTTGTGGAGCCAGTGGGTCTTTCTCGAAGGACCTGTCCTAGCGTTAAGGCGAACGTGAGGCACCAAAATGAGTACTGCAAGCAAAATTACGAGTGGCACGAGGGGAGGATAGAAGCAAGCTAATTGTAGGGCACGAAAGGGCGAGAGTGGCTCAGTCTCAGCCAGAAGAGATGAGGCCATAGCAGAGCGTCCTTCGAGGGACTCAGGATAGCAGGTAAAGATGCTATTTAGACCGCTCCTTCTCTCCTACCCTCATGAATACGTAGCATCGGAAGATTCTCAAGTTTCCTACAACCGCACAAGACGCTTTATCATTAGCGACCAGATTCATTCCTGTTTCACATTCTCCTCTAATCATCGCGATCACACAACAAGATGCCTGTATTCTGCTGCAATTGCGGAGATGGTCCTCACAACAACGATTTCGTCTCAGCATGCACCAACTGCAATCACTACCTCTGCAATCGTTGCCCGATCGCAACAGAGTACTATAGCTACAGCACCGCTGCCCCAGCCTCGGCTCCGCACTACCACGCTACGACCTCTGCCACTCACTCTAGTACGGCTAGGCTGTCGGACGTTCATCAAGACACTCCAGGAAACAACCCCAACATATGCTTTCCAGCGGGCGACGGCGGTCGCTACACCGAACATCCTCACAACCCAATATACCGATGGCAATGTTGCCAATGTTATGGGGAGAATAGTGTTGATAGAGACCTGGGTTGTGCATACTGCAGCAATCACTGGCGGTGTCAATGCTGCAGTGTCTGGGACAGTCAACAGAAGTAGAGGGTTGTGCGCTGATCGCGGGAAAGCAAACGATGGTGAGTGTGTGTGTCAGACATACCACATGACAAAGCTGACCATACCAGACTTAATTGGTTGATGGTAATTCCGAAGTTATTGAAGGGGTTTTGCGGGAGTTCATGTGTCATTCTTAGCTCAGCTTTTGATTTATTCCTTCCCATGGTCTAGTCTCGCCTGTATTCCATCGTTGTAGATACCCGGCATGCATCTCTTTATCTGACCTTGCTAGTCTAGTGCGATGTTCATGGCTTCAAGCATAGCGGTGATATCCTTGTGCATTCAAGCGTAGCAAGTCCAAGCAGTTATCATTCTTCTCAATCCAGCATGTTATGTATAGCGTTTCAATCTGAGCTTACTTTTGGTGATTTTGATATCAATCGTCTCCTGTGGTAAAGCCTTGAGGGGAACGTGTGTCAACTATGAGCTGCGCCCACTTTACACATCCGCCGCCTGAGGAGTTAGCTTTTGTCTGCAACAGAACCCGACATCATCTTCCGTAACACAAGATGGTACCCAAGGCATATTCCAACAAGTTGAGCGCACGTTGAAATAAGGAGGTAAGACATCGTGGGTGGCACAGTCAAGCTTATTGCTCCTGCCCGATTGCCGAGTTCTCTGCTGCGACTGGTTCGCCACTGCAATCTACTCCATGAATTGGGACCAGGGATGACACGCAGGAACGCCCCGTGCTAGAAGGCGGCGTTATGGGACGTAAGCCTGCGCGAATGCCATCTTTGCCTGTGCATCCAAGCTTGAGTACGAGTCGGCGTCGACAAAAATGATAATCAAATCTCCCCATCAACGCTTGAGTGACTTGCTCTTACCATTCCGCTCAGTTGCGCAAAAGAGAGGACGAGAGGCGGACTCGTGTTGCGCTTACGTGCGCGCGCATGCTCGGAGGATGGCTAGCAGGCCCTATTCCGCAGGGAGCGCCGCCCGGAATTTGACTATGTTTGCACAGCCATACCGCACTGCTCGGTCTTCGATTTCTGCCTTCTTCTAGTGATTCAATGGGCGAGAAGACATGATTCTTTCCTCCCGAGGTCGTCTGCAAGAGACATGTAGTCAGAATAGAGCCCTGCAGCCCATCTCTGCGCCCTCCAGGGCTGCCGTGCGGCTCTAGTTCGTAGCAGCGTTATGCCGGCTGATAATTTCGCGGGACAATCCGTCGTCATCGAGGAGGGCGCCGAGGATGCTTCAGGCCGTCTTTTCGGTGGTAGCCTAGATCTGCGGGGCTGCGTGAGAGGGCACCCCCTGTCATCCTCCGCGGACCGTGATCATGAGAACTTGTAGCTATTCTGCAGTGCCAACTTCGCATAGTTATCGTAGCTATACAGTCGCTAGCGATTGTTGTTTCACCTCTGTCCACAGCTGCGACATTATTTACACCAGCATCAGGACAGGGTTGCGCAGCCCCACTTACTCTATTGGGCAACGTGTTCGGACGTGCTCACGATTAAACAGACAGCTTTTGGCTCGCTACCAACGATAGTCAAGTATAGTTACAGCTCAACTTGTGAATAAAAGGGATGTTTTTTTGTACATAGTTAATAAGGGGTTGAGGTTGGAGCGGGTCAACCAAGTAATTAATCCTGCTCGCTGCCCGTGTAATCGCGGTCTGAGGCCAAGTCCGAGGTAAGCCGTCTACTAGGTATATATACTGTAAGCTGAATGACGTGGCTATATTAAACTAAGAAGGCTATCCTCGCTTACTTAATACATTTGCATCTAAAGTCGGCCCTACCTAGGTACAATGTCCACGAGGTTTTGAGCCAAGAAAGAGGTAATCCATCTATATATCTCAAGCTCTAGCCCACCGAGAGGCACCTTAGCATCCTCACCCAATATCTACCAACGCAAGCCATACCAACAGATTTCCTTCACCTCAACAATTCCCAAGATGCTTCGACAGTACCTCAGTTTTTTACTTGTAACTGCTATTACGGCTGCAACAGTTAATGCAGGGTGCTGTATTCTACCACAGAACCTAGGATGCACAGATAGTCCTCAGGGCAGTTGTGAAGCAGTTCGCGGGTCATGGAGGGAGTCTGCTTGCACTTCTTCATGCTAAACGTAAGCAGCCCAGCATTTTCTAGGATCCAAAATCTTACAGGCTTTATAGGCGGTCTTCAAGCAAGCTGAGCGACTGTATGCATTTGTTTGCAGTCGTAGTCATCCGCGAGATTACAAGCCGGCGAGCGGCACAAGCGGATCAAGGACGGGGCGGTGTCATCCATATCGGGCCTACATAGCGGGTATTCCAAGCTTGAGCCCGCGCCTAATCGAAATATGTTTGGTTTGCGAATCTACGCTATATGATTATCCCAGCGAGCGTCTAGCAACCATTTCTGCGCGTTCCGAAGCGGAGAGACGCATTCAGGAATGAACAAGTACCAATCACTAGTCTCGTTCGTGCCTAGACAATTCGTCACCTTGGTAGACTCGTAGTACTCTGGATAGAAGCCGGCGTATTCCCAGTCAATAATGCCGGTCACGCGACATTGCCCTCCTTCAAGCTTTACTATAATATTTTCAGGCCGAAGATCATTGTGGCTGAGGACATGCTTCTGTGATAGGGGCGGGCAAAGACTTCGGAGGAATTTGATGTAAATTGGGCTTCCGTAATGGGGATTAGAGAATTGCCAGTCGTCGAGATCTTCTGTAGTCCAAATAGGGTCGGTTGTGCGGCGAACATTTCTCCTCGCATCTTGACAACCTTCTCCTGCTACACCTCCAAGTGGCATGTTATCGGGACGGGTCAAAGACCGTACTTCGATGAATATATCGTTCAGCTGTGCTTGGACTGAGCGCTTAAGGCAGTCGTCTAGTTTTGGCCAGACTGCTTCGAGTGTCGTACCAGGCACAAGCGTCATAAAGACAAGGAAGAATCTACCAAGGCGTACAAGACCGAGTGGCCTTGGCGCAGGAATAGTGGGTTTGTGTTCCTCGAGGTATTGCAGGGTTGTGTATTCGGTCAAGTTGTCCATATTCGATATAATCTTGAGAGCAATACCAGGGCTGCACTTGAGAACAATCTCGTGTTTGCCAATCTTGGGCTTCCAGACAACTTCGCTCTGCTCAACCAATTTGTGGATACTGCGGGCAAGGGACGATTCGTCATGATCACTTTCGATAAGGCCTCGGACGGATTCAGAGAGCGGGAAAAGGACTGTGGCTGAGGTATATTCGTGAAGAAAATCTCGAATATCGTCAGGGAATGGCGAAGCATCCATCTTGCGAGGCGGCTTTGAAGGTGGCTCGTTCACAGAAAAAGCTGCAAGGCGTTAGATTTCGTATTAGAACTAAAGCACAGTAGTACGCAGCCCACGAACCATCGGACTTTCGATCAGCAAGCCGACTTGCATACGTAGAGGGGATTTTGGAAGCCAGATCTACTTCTGGATCCGCTTTTAACTCTCTTTGTAGCTTTCTCATAACCGTTTTATTCAACCACAAAGCCGAAGACTTGTCTATATCTGCTCTCTGACATTGAGGATGCATGCAGGCGGCGTCTGTGTCGTGAGGTGGACGATGCATAGCGTCTGCCCAGGTGTGTTGTGAGGTGAATAAAGATCCGTCTCAGCACAAGTTTGGTTAGGTGATTCGAAGTTCTCAGGTTGATAGCTGTCAAAGTCCTTGAGTTGTTTGCGGTCTCGGTCGAGCTGCGAGGTTCCAAGCCGGTACAAGCGGATAAAAGACGGGGCGATGCTATCCGCATCGGGCCTCGCAGGTGCTCCAAGCTTCGATCAACCACCTGGGCACAGCGCCAACCCTTTCGTTATCTGCGCGTATCCATCACTCAAACATCAATTCCGCAATGTCGCTGTCTGTGCTTTCCTGGCAAAGCTGCGATCTTCAGGAGTCGGCGCCGTTTGAAAATTGACGGTATCGCATGCCTGCGGGTCAGGAAGAAGACTCGGACACTGTCAAGCCGACAATGTAGCCGCAGCTAGTCAGTATCCACCTGGGCATCGCTCTCGATGATCAGGTGACTCCGGGCATGGTCCGGAACAGCCTGGCGAGAGGCGCATTGGCTTTCGTCAGCCATATAGGTTGAGTAATACAGAAGCGGGGTATCCTACCACTATGCTTGGTAACGTTCTTCTTTCGAGCAAACACCCACGCGACGCGTGCATCCGCCAAGAAGCCTCACATGTCCCATCGGGACTATACGTTGGTCCTGGCTTCCTCAACATCAATATTATCATTGAGCTGACCATCCCGACTGTATGGCAAACACGCTAGCGAGTCGAGCATCACAGCCTCGTCTCCTCTACAGTTACATTGCGCAACCGCATTTCTATAGCGATCACCATCATCCAGACCGCCAAAATACCCCGGATGGGCCCATTTCCATCGCGTTCACGAGATCGAGTCGTCGAAGTATCCACACCAATAACGACCTGGTGAAGGGCGTTGTCCACGTCAAATCACAAACCAAGGTCAAATACGTCACCATAAGCTTTATTGGCAAAACGACATGTCGCATCGCGAGCGAGCGCAATCCTGCAAACCAGCATGTCTCTGAATTCGAGCTCTTCTGTCAAGAGCAAACATTATCGAAGAGGGCAACGCCCAGCGCGACCTGTCCCCCATCGCGAGTAGAGTACCCCTTCGAATTTCGATTTCCAGAAGCAGTACCAAATGCTACGAAGCTGCAAAAGGATGCGCCATTCAGGCCAGATGCTCTGTTTGAGCACGAGGGTGGTCATCCTCTTCCACCGTCGCTATGGTGGAACGAGAGCACGATATGTAACGAATACTTTCTGAGAGCGCAGTTCGTCACGGAGCAAGCTTCATTCACACTTAGTCCTGTTGTTGTGCAGCAACTCCGCTTTAGCCCGTCCGTTCCGGAGCAAGGTCTTTCGCCTACAGCTGCTCTTGTACCAGCACCACCAATACGTTTTGAGCGTAGATCGAGACCATCAACTCCAGATCCATCTAAGGAGCGGCGTAACTCGTTGCGACGGCTCAAGTCGGGCTTACGAGGCGGTACTAAGGAAGAGGAGATATCTTCGACGTCGCTGTTAGTACTCAGTGCACCCCCAGAGTATCGCGTTGGTGCTGCCAGCACGATCAAGCTATCACTGCAAGCAACGCTAAGCGACGGCGATACACAGCCAGCACCCGTGTATCTTCGTGGCATCCGCGCGCAAGCAATCACACACATCAACTTCCGAGTCCCGCTAGCATCTGCCCCAAATGGAGAGATACGGAAAGAGAGCGTCGAAAAGTTCGACCTCTTCAATCAGCGATACAGTAAACCTGGAATAGAACTCACTTTGGATACCATCTTGGAGGGTTTTGAGATCAACAAGATTGTGCCTCCCACATTCAAAACATACGGTGTCGCACTTCACTATGACGTCAAGTATGACCTTTTGCTCGAATGCGCGGGCAAAGAGTCGGAGCATGAGATTGATGTCGATAACGTGGTCATCGAGCCGATGACAAGGCCTGGTGGGCATCTTGGGCCGCCGGATGAGATGCCGCCAGTAAGCGGCTCGGATGAGAGCTTCATATTGGAGGAAATGCTTCGGGATAGTGAGCCTGTAGCGGAACAACCACCGCCCTATTACAGATAGAAGATACAGCTATCGCAATCATTGGTGCTGCGTAACCTCTTCGATCATTCGTGACAACATGGACTGTGAATGTGAGCAAGACAGCGTGCAGTCCGCACTTGCTGGCAACTAACACGTAGCAAGCAACAAAGATAAACGGCACCAATTTGGAGGTCTCTTTTTTCCCAATCTAGAGGCGCGTATAACATAACTCTGATTATCTCGAAGACAGCACATATTACCGAAATTGTTCACACTCAACTCTTGCAGCCCACCAAACCCCCAAATACCTACAACGCATCTACCCCAATATATCCACACGCACTACATTACCTCAGCCACGCTACATTCCCCGAAGATGCCCCCGAATCCAGGTCTATACATCTGCCCCTGCGGTATGAACGCGGGCGTCTGGCTCGTTGCCGGCGCCAGTAAATGCTCAATGTGCGGTTGGTCATGGGGTATGTACGAAGCCGCTCGTATAGCGGAGGAGAAGAGGAAGGATCGACAATACACAGAAGAATGTGGAGATCAGGAAAAGTGAAAGCCATGTGCAACGCCTTGTTGATGTGGGTATGAGTGCGCAGCTTTCGGAGGACACGAAGTTGGAAGGAACATCGAGAGTTTGTGTCTCAATTTTTCTTGGATAAAGCTCTGGTCGCCCCGTGGGTGAGATATCCTCACCAACGTATGAATCGATGCAAACGCCCAGACTATTGAATGCATGAGTCCGTATGAGAGCTTATGTACTTCACACATGGCTTAAGGTGACTATCTTACACTGACAAGACTCCTCCAACATGTGGCGCACTCACTATCTCGGGTGTATAAATGCTGGAATACTAACATGCTTGTCTTTCTACACCAAACACATACTCTCAGGAATCCCAACATATCATCGATTCGATCGATAATACACAGCAGGCATCACCAACTGCAACATCCGCAGTTTCAGGGACAGCGATACACACTCCCTCGCCGAGAATCCAGGTATCACATCGAGAAAGCCAGCCGCGTCAAACTCGAATACGACTTGCGCTACTATGGCAGTCTTTCCAGAAAACCACGATAACCTCACCGTCAATTGTAAAGGAAAAGAACAAGATGCTTGCAGCTACAGCCAGAATCAGTGTCAGATTTTACCAAAGAAAGAGTCATGCCAGCACGACGGATGTGTCAAGACACTTACGACTCACGATAAAAGGAACGTGAAGGAGGGCGAAAAGCAGGAAGAAGGAGAAAGGCAGGACGATGGGAAGAACTCAGGAGACTGACGCGAAAGAGAGAGACGCCGAACTCCCCTGAGGAGGCCGAGGCCAGGCTGTGTCGGAAATCTTTTGTGTTTCAATCCGGCTGAGCGCGGCAAAGTTTCACATCATTTGGCGATGCATTGAAGTGATAGCAGTGGAAAGTTTTTGTCTCGGAAGGTCATCGGTGAATACTGGGCTCAATGTGTGCATTAGAAAATAGATCTATTCATCTCTCGACATTCTCAAATCCAGTAGAGGAAAAGCGCATGTGTGACCACACATGCAGCACCCTTCACCTCGCCCAAGCAATAAGAAAGAGAAAAAGGATATCACATAACCAGACCCAACGCTCCTACGTATATCTGTAACATCTCAAGGCTTCACACAAGCAACCATGAGCTTCTCGTAATCGCCGCGCGTCTCTCCTTCTATCCTCTTAACCAAGTCCTTCTTGTAAACCTGCTTGTACGCGTTGCTAACGGCGTTCATAAAGTTCCTGTCCCAGTGGCAGCGGACGACGCGTTGTACGAGAATCTCGTCCTTGGTACCTAGACCAGCCATCGATTCTTCTAGACGGACGGCTTCGGCCTCGGGTCGGTTGGTGGCACGGTGGATAAGCAGACGAAGTGCGTCCTCCATGTGGCCTGAGAAAGCAGACTTGATGACACTGTCGAGGGACTTGTGGAAGCGCTGTTGGTAAGAGTTCGCCATGGCTTTGAGCTGCGCGTCGTTTTTGCTGGTGAGGATCTGGCAAACTTGAGGAACGTTCTTGCTAGCAAAGCCACCCATGCCGGCTTGGAGATCGGTGACAGCCTGCTCGATTTCTTGTGGGTTGACTGGGTATGAGTCTTCTGCGCGACGAGCCGAGATGATCATATCGTACATCTGTTCAGTTCCGGCACTGAGATCGCCTTGGAGGTCTTTCTGTAGTGGCCGTTGGAAGAGTTCTTGGTACTTCTGCTTGATGGCGTTGATGTCGGCGTTGCTTCGGCCGATAAGGATGTCGTCCAAGATGACCTCCTTTGTACCCATGCCCTTCATTGCTTCCATGAGGTTGTAGCAGTCGGACACCAGAGGGCCGCGTGCGATTTCGACAAGTCCTTTCGCGAAATAGCCACTGGTCTCTTTTTCGAGATCCTGGACCATGTTTCGCATCAGGCGCTGGTCGTATTGCGCCCGAATGGTACCAATCTGAATAGGGTCCCGCTTCGCCAATATCGCGATGAGCGCCTTCTCATCGGTTCCGAATCCCTTCATTGCTTTACGGATAGCTTCAACATCTTTGCTGACGTCGATGTTGGCTACCTGCATGGGACCGTAGCCGAGGGAAGCCTGAGTTGGTGGCCCACCGAAACCCCCTGGCGCTCCGAACTGGCCTTGGGGAGGTGGAGCGCCGAATTGACCCTGTGGTGGGGGCGC